ATAAAAAAGTTTCTCTCTCTTTCCAATCTGTAATTATCTGATTATCTGTCTCAGACCAGGGTCTGTGCGCATGTTATTGCTGATGAAATGTGTCGCATAAAACTATAGAATTAGCAGCATTTTGCCTTGTTGAAATAAAAAAGTTTCTCTCTCTTTCCAATCTTCTGACATGTAATTATCTGTCTCAGACCAGGGTCTGTGCGCATGTTATTGCTGATGAAATGTGTCGCATAAAACTATAGAATTAGCAGCATGAGAACGATTTGCCTTGTTAATTGTCTTTATATATATTTGCGTGTTAAGATTGGTATTTTGTTCAGCAAATATGCCATCGTGTACTGTGTACTTAATAGGTAAAGACTCAACTGGCGGAGAAGGCGGTTCAAGCTGCCAAAGCCGCTGAAGCGGCCTTATCAGGTAAAGAGGCAATGGTCGAACAGCTGCTAGAAGAAGTCAAGGAAGCACGATCGGTGGTTCAGGAAGAAACGTCTTCTTTGCAACAAGCACAAGCTAACGTCAATGCTGCGATCCAGGCAGCGCGGCAGTCACAAGATCAGGTACATTAATAACCGAGGTGAAGTCACAAGTTGTAATAACAAGACGAATGGTGTCCCGAATATGTAAATTGCAATCTAAAAAGATATTTCACGTTTTATTTTGAATTATTTACATCACAATTTAACAAGACTTGATTTATGACCCACGGTTCGTATTTGAATATTTTTTATATTTTTATTTAGGTATTGACTCTATTGATCTTTTTTATAATTTGTTTTATTTTTCCTATACTCTTTTGTATGTTTTATCTTTATATCTTTGTCGAAGACTTGAAGAAAAACTGAAGACTACTTCTATCACTTTATCAAAATATGGAAGAAAATGGTAGTTTTTTCTCCAATGTTATAGATTATTTTATTTATTTATTTATGCATGTATTTATGTATAATTATGTATGCACACATATTGTATATAAAAATGAAACCGCTTATCGACAATTTAAGAAAAGTTGGCCTTGAGTTTGTTAAATGTTGCAAAAAGATGAAAATTGTTCTGAAAATTGTTCTTTTTCTTTGCGTTATACAGTTTATAAATGCTATGCGTTATATTTTGAAACTACAGTTGAAGACATTGACGAACGCAGTGCGTAGAGCCAAATCGAACGCGGCAAACGCTCAGGCGGCTGCGAGCGGAGTGCAGAGATCGCTACGAGAGAAAGAAGAACTACTAGAGGCGGCCAGGAGACGAGTGGATGAATTGTCAAATCAGTTACGAAGTGCTCGGCAGGATCTCCTGAACACGAGTCGTGCAGCGGCCAAAGCTAACGCTTCTGCGCACGAAGCGAAAGTGAACGCTAGAAACAAAAGGAGATTGGCGAATCTTAGGAGATTGCGGATGACACACTCAACTGCGACGCGAGCTACTTCTTGAGATGAGACATGCAGGAAGATTTATCAAATTAATATGATCATGATTAATACTAATAAGATTGTGCACTTTAACAGTTTTGGACGACTTTTTTTACAAATATACAGATTTCGCGTTTATACATATCTTTTGTAATAAATGATCGGAAGAAATGCAGAT